TTTCCAAAATATGTAACTTGTAAAAAAAAATCCTGTGTATTTTACAGCTTTTTCGCCTTTATGATATCTAGTGTCAGTTTATGAGCTGGTGGTGCATAAGACTCATAAGACTATTCACTGCTGCGATTGTCTTTTGCACTAAAAGTGCAAGCGCCAGGTTTTACTTGCATTTTGTCAGGGCACTCTAAGCGAGATGAACTGAAGCCGTTAATTTGTTTGTCAGCAAAGTTTCTGCATCTGCGTCTTTTAATTGATGAAGCGGTAATCAATCCGCCAAGGACTTCTTCGGTTTGTGTTGCCGACTTTTTTTTCAACAGGATTGAAGTAAATGGCTGGAATTTATTTCACTTAACTGTGCTTTGAGTGGCGAATTGGTACTGCTGGTTTAGAAGATTAGCTGTTCTAACAGTCAGAAGATTGGAAGTAGGAATTATATGCCTGTTGCCTCAACACCTGTAGCAGAACATCTATCAGCGTCTGTTCGAAAGAAAGCAATTTGAAGCAATTTAAATGAGAATAAAGGCAATAGTTTTAGGTCTACGGAAAGTCGTGTTATACCCAACAAATGCAATGCAATCATTGGAGACCAGAGCAGAATTGGTGGATTGTGCTAACGCGGTGGGTGACAAATGACTATGTTCAGAAGGCATTTCGATTCAGGCGCATCAACATAAAATGGAAGTTGTAAATTGGCGAGATTATAAGAATCAAAGAGTTGCGATCAAAGGTGGCAGTAATTGGGCGGCGATGATCAACAGAACACTCCAAGGACTATTCTTGACAGTTCTGCTGTTCACTATATTCATGTTGTGTCTTGATGAAGATATTGAAAGTATAATGTTCTTTCTGTTCAGCTGCCTGAATCTGCAGAATTTAACTGTTCCGTGGATTCTTTTTTTGTCACTGGAATGCAGAATATGAAAAATCGGTCATTCACTTCATTTGCGGTTTGTGGGACCAACACTGTGTGAAAAATTGGCTGCCCCGTTTACCTACAAAATACACGGTCACTACACTTAAAAGCAGTGCAAAGTGCTTTGAGACATTTTGACATAAGGTGTGTGTGACTGTGTGTGTGTATATATATATATAAACTGATATAATATGCAGTGTGGGGCTGGGAAGTGACTATTTACTGTTGGCAATGACTCCAATGAGGCACATTAGCAACCAGGTGGACTTTGCACGCATTAGCTGTCGGAGCCACGAAGATTGTAACGGAGGGGCGATCCCTGACAAACTGGTGATAAAGCAAGATTTTTAATGCGGTTTCCATTTGAGTTGTTGCAGATTCCATTCACCTCGAATGCACAGCTTTCAGCAATCTGACGTCCACCGAGCGTCTGCGAATCGGCTAAGATGCATGGCTCCTTACGCAATGTATGACAAAATTCATTTGTTGAATACGTTACTGCTGGCTGTATATTGTGAGCCATTACATTGCTTAAAAATGGTCAAATATCAAATTTATGACAAAAGTTATATAAAAATGGAATAGCTCATATCCTTGCTTTTCCCCTCATTGTCCTACGAGCTATAAAGTATCTTTGCACAAATTCACATGGAACTCATCCAGCTGTGCGGTGCCCAATACTGTGTTTGCATTAAATGGTTTGCTTGCACAGTGGTAATATTTTGAAACGCAGCTTCAAGTACGACTGAGGCTTAGCTGCATTTTGTTTGTAGGAAACGAAAGCGGTGTCACATTTCCTCTTGACCTTTTTTTTTCACATTGAGTCAAACCTCAAAGATAGACTAATTGTCAGCGCGTCTTCTCAGGCAATTTTCCTTCTTCAATTAAAACCTCCAGTCAGTTTAATGTTTATTTGATGAGATTTTTTTTTGTCCAATGTTCTCTTGGAGACATCGCGGGCTTTGTACGCTGCTCCCAATCAAGTACATGCTTCTCAGTCTCAGTTACGGCTATAGACAAGGTCGTCAGTGTGAACGGTCTGGGAGGTGAGGGGAGAGAGGGAGGGAACATGCAAGTGGACCTCTGATCTTTCTGCTTCCCTATTCGAGAAGTTTCTCCCCACTCCACAATCTTTCAGTTGCCCTTTACCAGGATGTATTCTCCTTCACCTGGCATCCACTGCCAAAGAGACTGATTCAGAAACTAATGACGCCATAATTTGGTCACGGTGTCAGTCTGGCATGAGTTCAAAGTTTTTTCCTCATGCAGCTTTCCCAGGAATCAGGATCTCATTCCAATCCTTCAATTGGAGCTGTGTTCTTTAACGTAATTCCGAAGCCTGGGGAAATCTTACATTAGCACGGTAAATTGGACGTTGATGGGCGTTAATTAATAATAGTAATAATAATCATTGTATTTGATATAGCGCCTTATCATGTCAACGATACGTTTCAAAGCTTCCCAGGATACCCTGTAAGGTGGTGTGACTGCGTATTTTGTGGGCGAATGTGGCAGCCAATTTGGGCACAGCAATGACCTACAAGCAACCATAGTGGAGACTTCACAACCCTTCAATCCTCTGGTGTGTGTGTGTGTCAATGGTGCATCTTTTCCTACGGACAGCGCAGGTTGTGTTGGATTGAACCTATGTCTCCTCCCTGTGTGGTTCCAGGGTGTGTAGCAGCAAATGCTGTGTATATAATGGTTCCTGGTTGAGGGGTGATGGAGATGATTTACTGTCTCTAATCTCCTTGCTTGGTTGTTAGTTCTGTTGTCTTTGTGTTTACATGCCATCTCAACACCATGATTAGTTTACTGACTTGTGATCTGATCCAGGAGTCTTCTGACGTTCACGCATGAACAACTGCTGGGGGATTAAATACATGCATAAATAAATGATCCTCGCGTTTGATATGCTGGCCTTAACACATTTTGGAAAAAGCTTCACAAGATTTATGGTTAAATGTCGTGACTGTGTATTTATAGGTGAATGCCCAAAATATATACAGTCAATTCACTTTACAGTATATCCTGTGAAGAGCTTTGAGATGTTTCGAAGACATGATAAGGGGCTCTTTCAAATGCAAGTATTATTATTAATGCAGCAGCCAATTTGCACTCAGCATTGCCCAACAAACAGCCAAATGAATGACCAATTTTGACCAGTCTGGGGCAGGTTCCACTGGTTTCCTGAATACCAATGAATGGACGTCCAAGGTCTTTACCTTCACCTTCAAATCTTTTCGATGGAGATTTAACTAACTTGCAGGAATGTTTGATCACTGCCCTGCTCGGGTTTATTCAGATTGCCTGGAGCTCAGTAATTGCAGATTGAAAGCATTTCAGCTCTTGAGTGCAAGTCCTGTCAGTCTTTTGAACCATGCAGGCTTTTTCAGAGAAGTTTGAGGTCAAGAAATACATCTGTAATTTACTCAAGGGCTCGGAGACACTTGGCTAGAGTGTCTTACTTGTGTCTTGTGAACCATTAAATTAAACCAGTGCTCAAGCTTCAGACCACAGTCCTTTCTCTTATTGGAGCAGAAGCCAAAATAGATTTTGAAAGGGAATTGGACGAATATATGAAAGGAGAAACTATGTATAAAATGATTCTTGGAAAGGGCAGGGGAGTAGAACTACATGGATTGCTTCAGAGAATCTGAAATTCTGATAGAAGTGTATGTTTTTTTTTACGAGCGCTAAAATAATCCTCCAAAGGCTTCATCATTACTCCACACGCCTCTGTTTGCCTAGCAGTAAGTAGGAAGGACCTGGTTGTTAGTCGATTGGTGGATTGCTTCTCCGGGGGTAATAATTTCTTCAAATAAACACACTGTAAATTGTAGTGACTGTTTTGCAGGTGAATATGACAGTCAACTTGCTCATAGCTCACAGATAAGGGGGATAAATTTATGATGAGGCCATTGCAGGATTTACAAAGGAATAAGGCTGCTGAAAATCGAGTTATACCTGGGAGAGGTTTCTGGGTGTAATCTTATCAAGCGATCGGGTCACAGTGAAAAGCACGAGTAACTTTATGAGCTAAATAAACTCCCAAATGCTTGGAAACGCCTTCCATTTTTATATGAAGGTCTTGGAGACGTCTCGAAGACGTTATAAGGCACTATATCAAATGCAAGGCTTATTATTATTATTGTATACATTGGAGGTGTTGGGACCGAGCTGGAAATGGGCCAGGGATGCTGGGGTCACTTGATCCTTCAGCTGATATCCTCATTGAAGGATTGCAGATGCGGTAGAATGAACTGCAAGCCGGCGCACGAGAATTCAATCCGTTGCGAATCATTGAGAAATAACAACCGCGTGCTTCGAGGCGGGGGTGGGGGGGGTGGGGTTGTCTTTCATTTATAGAAGCAGGATTAAGAATGTCAGCTACATTGGCCCCTAACGGTGCGGCCAAAAAAAATAAGCCTGAACTCTGTTTACCTGTGGTTCACTGTGTGTATTCGCTCACAGACATGATAATCAGAAACCGGCTGCGGAAAGTGATCGGGAACTCAAACGTGGCTTCAAAGGGAGAATGCCTTGGAATTGGTCAAAAAAATGGAACGGCTTTCTTGTCTTAGTTTTGTTGGTAGAATTTTTTTAAAAAAAATCTATAACAACAACAAGATTACATTTGTATAGTACCACCCAAGCTCATACTTCCACAATACAACAACAACAACAACAAATCACATTTACACAGCTCCTTTCACGTCGGGAGGACGTCCCAAGGCCCTAGACATTCAGGGATTTGGACCTGTTTGCTGGGGGGGTGGAATCAGGAGAGGTGAAGGACTGAGAGGGTGGAAAAAGTGGCAGGGTTTCTTTTTTTTTAACCCCCACACCCCCCATCCCAAAATAAATTTAAGCAACGCACCTGCATGTTTATTAGTACGTGGGTAGTTCAGGACATATGTGCATACGACCGCCAGGAAGCTGCAAAGCGAACTAAATGGACCTTGGTCTGTTTTTTTTCCGCCTAGCATTTCTTATGTTCTTATGTCATGTTTGATTTTGGTTTGCTGGGAACTGTGTACCGCATTCTCCCGTAGTGAATCTTCTTTTGTCCCGTCTTTGCTTGCAGTGGGTGCTGGCCTTCGAGATTTTCATACCGCTGGTTCTGTTCTTCATCCTCCTGGGACTCCGTCAGAAGAAGCCAACTATTCCTGTCAAAGAAGGTACAGTGGATAGAACAGCCTGACCGTGCTGAGCCGCACTGCTGCTGTTCTTGGTGGAAGTTAGGTTCTCGTTTGGGTTTGGTGTGCAGCGGCATTTAAGGCCACAAATTGACAATGGCGGAGACGAGGATGAATGTTTAGATAAATGCTCCACCTTGCTCTGTGGTGTGTGTGTCTCTGTGTGTGTGTGTGTGTGAGAGAGAGAGAGACCTTGGTGTGTATGTATGTGATCTCTGTGTGTGAGAAATCTTGCGTTTGCTGTGCGTGTGTGCGTGCGTGCGTGTGTGTGTGTGTGTGTGTGTGTGCCCGCGCCATTTTTTGAGGTGTCATGAATCTGTCTGCCTCACACGGCAGGTTGTGGACTGCTTGTCGACTTTTACGGGTGAACTTTGGCTTCTCGCAACACAGAGAAAATCCCACTGAGACAAATAGTCTCTCTGGTCCTCGAGGGACGTGTTCACAAGTTGATTCTGTGGCGGGGAATCAGATATCAAGAGTGGGCCAGGGCAGGAGAGAGAAAGAAAAAAAATTCCTTGCGCGTAGAATTACATTGCTTCAACCATCACATGAAGCAGTATTAATATTGGAATATGGTGCGGTACAGCTCTGACTCAGTTGTAAGAGAGAGGAGAGAGGGCCCTCCCAAAGTGATATGGATGTGTGATTTTGATCGAGTTAACAAAATCCTTCACTTGAGAGGAGAAGTCGTATTTTGTACACGTCTAAAAAATACCCTTCAGAGAGCATCGCGTTGAAGAAGTCCCCTTTCTCCTCCCACCCCTCCCATCTATTTTCCAGTCAGAATTCTTCACAAGAGTTGGCATAACCTTCTTTCTGCAAGTCTGTCCAAAGAGGTCAAACTCTCATCGTGAGCGTGATATCAGATGGAGTGGAGTGTCCGCACATAACTGTGTGCGGTTGGAAGCAAGAAAGACACGGATGCCTTGAGACTCCGAGAGTCTAGTGCTCCCAAGACTATAACTCCATACACGAGGGAGAAGGGAAAAGGAGAGTAAGGGAGGGAGTAAGGAGTGGGTGGATGTTTCAAGTGGCGTATAAAGACTGGCACGGACTAGTTGGGCCAAATGGCATGAATTCGCGCTGCACAGTTTATGTAAATCTCTGTAAACTGTCGCTGTTACCGGATGTTTATGTCTGTGTCTGGGTGGATTCGAGGGCATTTACAATTCAGGATTGAAACCTGATTCCATGCCCCATCTCCTCCTCCCCGCCCTGCTCCCTGAGCGAGGCAGTGCTGAGAGCTCTTTGCTCAGAAGGCTCCTCTGCCGTTGCCAACCTGAACTTGAATACGGCTTGAGTATTTTTTTAAAAAAAACGCTTTGGAGTGGGGCAGCTCTAATCGGAGGTTATTAATCCGTTCCGTGCTTCAGTCAGTGACTACTCAACCGATTTATACTGCGGGATAAAAAAATCAGGAGCTATTAGGGAATGAATTAAATCCTCAGCGGAAGTATTTTTTATTCATGGGATGAGTCTTTTGGATGGACTGGAACAAATGAAATGACAGATTAAACAAAGAGATGTGCTCCTCCCCCCCCCCCCCAAAAAAAATAGCATGTTACTGACCTTATAGCATCCATTTATCGTGAAGGACCTCATTAACTAAACATATCATCACTTCTGTGCCACTTGTTCCCACACAGTGGAGAATAGGGGATACGTAACCGAGATCACAAAGAGAAATTTGGATTGTTATTAATAATAATAACAATCATCCTTGCATCTGATGCAGTATCTTATCGTGTGGAGATGTCTCTTAAGTGCTTCACAGAATTTTACTGTGAAATGTGTGTGTGTGTGTGTGAGAGAGAGAGAGAGAGAGAGAGAAAGAGCCCTTGCTTGTGGATATGTATCTGCTCGTGTGTGTGGTGTGTGGTCTATATGTGTGTGTGTGGTCTACTGTGTGTGTGGTCTGTGTGTGTGTGTGGTCTGTGTGGGTGTTTGTGTGTGTGGTCTGTGTGGGTGTTTGTGTGTGTGGTCTGTGTGTGTATGTGTGTGGTCTGTGTGGGTGTATGTGAGTGTGGTTTGTGTGTGTATGTGTGTGGTCTGTGTGGGTGTATGTGTGTGTGGTCTGTGTGTGTATGTGTGTGGTCTGTGTGGGTGTATGTGTGTGTGGTCTGTGTGTGTATGTGGTTCTCCGCGTGTGAGAGATCTTACCATGTTGTGGATCAATGGGACACGGTTGCTTTTTTCAGTTTGGGAGCGAGTGCACACCAGAATCACTTGCGACATCATGAACTGCCTTCCTCACTCCCTTCGTCTCGCTCCCTCTCTTCCTATTTCCAGGTCTCTGCTGAAGACCTTTCTTTTCGACCGCGTCTTTGGTCACCTTCCTCCCCCTCCCTCTCCCCCTGGCTCGGCCCCGGGATCCATTACTGTGAAGCGCTCTGAGACGCCGTCCGGCGTGGAGGGCGCTATATAAACCCAAGTTGTTGTTGTTGTTGTTGAACAACAACAAATTGCATTTATATAGTGCCTCTCGTGTCGGAAGGACGTCTCAAGGCCCTGGACAGTAAAGAGTTTGTACTTTTGAGACGTTTCGACCATGTTTTCTTTGAATATGAATTCTGAGTGAGTCAGGAAAACAGGTCAACAATGAAACTGCTCAGTCATTGCCACAATGTGGAGATGGTAAGGTATTCAGATGCATAAAATGTTTTTTTTTTAAAAAATGAGTGTGCGGTTTTCCCTGTTTGTTTTGAAAGGTTTTGATGGATGAAGTTTGATGATTATGTTTTGCATTTTGTTGGCTGTGTTAATGTGATAAATGTTGCAGATTTTTTTTTGTTAAACGTATTCAAATTGTGTTTTTTTTGGTTGTCTCTGTTGCTGAATCCCGAACTTCGGGTAATCCTGAATGCCAGGTTAAGTATGGAAACACAATGATCACGGTGCCACAGGAACAAATTAAGTAGCACTGAATGGGCGATAAGAGGCAAAAATTTAATGCTTTGGGATACATTGAGTTCAATGACACAGAATCCACCACATGGGCCACCCCTCCTATTCCCCTCTCCTATACCCCCGTACTCCCCTCTCCCCTCATGTACCCCTCAAGTTTTCTCAAATCAATTGATGCCTTTTTTTTTGCTCCAGTCACAGTCTCCGACTGTTTTGCTCCCTCGTTTGGGACTTGCATTCAAAAATCACATCCAGTGCAGCATTCTCTTCCAAATCCCAGAATGGATTCAGCCCAGAGACTTGAAACTGGTGTCATTGCTGCTCTGTGATCACCCACTGAATGGGTCAAGTGAGGAGTGTGATTCTCATGTTCTCTTCATCTTCATCCATGTGGATTCCTGTAGTTCAAGTGGTTAGAGCACTCGCCTTGCGAGTGAGGGACCTTGGTTCGATTCCCGGCAGGGCGAAATGTTGGGCTAGTTTCTTTATTCCACACGCCTCTGTTTACCTTGCAGTAAGTAGGAATCCGGTTGTCAGTCAATTGTCGGATAATAATTCCTTCCAAAAAAATAATAATAAATTGGTCACTTCAATCCACAGCTGTTTGTGGGGACGCTGCTGTGCGCAATTGGCTGCTGCGTTTCGCCCACAAAATATACAGCATATTCTGTGAAGCGCTTTGAGATGTCTCGAAGATGTGACAAGGAGTTATATCAAATGCAAGGATATTATTATTATTATTATCTTGCCTGGTGGGGCAATTGGAAATGGTGAATCTGTGTTGCCGTAGATTGAGATATTCGTTCCTTTATGCCGCCAGTTGGCTGGATGGATTCAGGGCGGATGCTGTTGCAATGCCTTATTTAGATAAACCGGTCCCTTTTCAACAAATTCGCAGTAGGAATTTGCAGGAGGCTTGAATGGGGATATCAAGTGGGACAGCAATCTCTCGTTTCATTTACCTTTGTAAGTGTAATATAACTCCATGTTGTCATCAGGCAACTCCCCCTCCGTGGGAAAAGGCAGTTCCCAGATTAGCTCTGCAGTGGGTGGGGTAAGTTACCTGTACTATTTTTGGCCTCAGCTTCGGAGAGGTGGATGGGGTGGAGAAAGATCAACCAAAATGACACTAAATCACACTCTCGCTTGTGCCCAAACTCTATTCTCTGATTCACGAGGACATTTTCGCCTCCAGAAAAGAATGCTGCACTCAAGTAATACTTTTGCTTGCAAAAGAAAACGGCCGTCAGGCCCACCTGATTCCTTGTCCACCCACCTTTTTCTTTTCATTTGCATCTTCACCCCCCCTCCCCCACCTCCCACCCTCCCTTGCGCCCCCAAAGCCCAAACTCAACTCAATAGTGCCCTGCACATCAGTTGAAATAGTGATCCAAGATGGAAGAGCATGCAACTAAGAACAAAAGAAAAGCTGGATGCAAAAAAGACCAAGGTCCTTCTAGTTTGCCTTCCACCTTCCTGGTAGTCGTGTGCACACATGTGCCCAGAACTACCCTTGTACCATATCCCATAATGCTACGTCTTAAAAGAAAACTATCTCATCTGTGTTTGAAGGAGTCAACATTTCCGACTTCTACCGTTCCACTGGGTAGCCTGTTCCACAGGTTTACTGTAAGAACATAAGAAAAGCTACAAGTGCTACTTCATTTGTGCCTGAGTCTGCCGTAGCTCACCGCTGCTTGCCGTGTTCACCATGATTTACGAACCTTTCGTTCTGGTGGAATAAGGACTCGGGACAAGCCATGAGCAGCAATGTGATGCGCTTTGCATCGTAACTGTGAAGTGGACGTCGGAGTTTCTCACTGGCTGATTGAGACGAGTTCGTACCCAAGGGAAGATCTTCATTACCGTACATTGAACGTGTGGTTGATGAACTCTACGTGATGTGAATTCATTTTAATTATATATTTTTTTCTTCCTTTTTTTGTTTTGTTTGTTCGTTGGTTGGTCCGTTTGTTGTCTTCCGTTTGTAACATTCTTTTCTTTTCACCTGTCCACCTGCTTGACTCGCTGCCATGCTGCATGCTGTCCAGTCTGTAAGTTTTTGGTTTGGTTTTTCACAAAGCAATCATGCGTGCGTGCCCCATTGCCCAACTCTCTTCACCGCTTTAAGAGTGTGAACCGATCAATGGTGTCTGTCCTGAATTGTTAACCTGTTTCGATCAGACTTGAGACTGGTGATTGACTGTTGACCTGTACTGCAGCGCTATAACTTGAATTTTAATGGGGAATTGTAACGTGTGCCTTTCTACGTGGGTTCCAAAAAGAAGCGCGCAGTAATTGGCAATGCTCTGATATTATACGGTGACCAAGTTTGATGCCCAAACTCTTTGTAATTAATTGCAAGGCAATATAAAAGCAGTCAAAATGTGCGTTGGATGTTTTAAAGTGCGATAGGTGATACCTCAGCCGAATGTTCACTAGTTTATTGCATTTATTAACCTCTCAATCATTATCTTCTAATACAAATACGTGCTGTACTGGGCATTCCGCATCGTGTGGAGGCAAGTACTAAACCATTCATAGCATTTGCTCTGAATTCCAGCTTCCCATCTTAAATACTATTTGCCAATGATAGGCGGGGTTATTTGTTACAGAAACAGAATGTAAGAGTGAGTGCTCTCTGAAACTCTCTGCCTCCCTCCCTCCCTTCCCTCCCCTTAACAAATTATTTATTTGACTGCGCCTTCAGCCTACCCTCTCCCACCGTCTCCCACTGTATCTCTGCAAAGCTCTTTGAGGCATTCTCCATCGTGAAAGGCAATACGTAAGTGCAAATTGTTTGCTGTTAAATGAGCTCAGTGACTACAGTTGTGGAGCTATTTTCACCAGTCTCAAATCACAAGGAACTTCCTATAGACTAATATGAAGATAACCTTAGTATATTCAGCCATTGAGGAAATA